TTTTCTGGAGTTCCACTGTTACTCAAGGGGATTCCAAATGTCCTCTCATGGCAAGAAAACTTGGGGTACCTTTCAAATATCTTCAAATCCTCATGGCACGCCCTTGTCCGAAGCGTCATTGGTGTCGGAAAGCCATTTTTGGCATCCATTTCTTTGATCTGCGTCCGACTTGGCAATCCCAGTGACGGACACCGGCACCCGGCCTTCCAAGTCTTCTCTGAGCTTTCGCCGCTTGGCATCCTCTTGGGCGTGTCGCTCCTGCCGGGGAAGGAGGATGGTGATGCAGTAATTCTGAAGATGAGGATGATGAATGATCGAGTGATATTGGAGTCCAACCAACCTGAGACAAGCCAGGGCCATGCTGATTCTGATGCCCAAAATAACGGTAGCTGCTGGGGGGAACTATCTATACAGCTTGGCCATGAAGAACAATGGGCCGTTTGTATATCTAAAAAATATCTGAACAATGCATGAAAGGGTGCCGGAAGGTTTTGCAGTTGCCTTACTTGCAAAGTCTCTCTCGCTCTACTCTCCTCCAGATCTTTGGCAGCTTTTCGCTTCCTGCGTGATAGCTTGGCGGACCAGCGTCTGCCAACATTGATCCAACAAGCATAGAAGTGGAACATGTCCCCGCATGCAAATCTGCATGTTCTGCATGTTCCCATATGCACTCTCAAATCATGGCATGTGTCTAGTCAATGTTCCGTCATACAAGTGCGCAACATGTTGGTCCCACTGACGGCCACCAAACCAGAAGTGGATCGTGAATAAGCCAGCATGTCATACTGTCATACTGTAGAAATACAGGCAAATAGGAAAGTATCACAGATTTGTTATAAATTGATAGATTGATCTGTCCATTTACCAGGGGGGGTTGGACGTTGCCACAAAATTCTTAGAGTGGTCTCGTCTCCTCACCAAACGTGACTGCTCAAAGAGGCAAGCGGAGACCGTAACCGTGTCGTCAACTGGCTCGTGTTGCTGCTTCACAATCAGGAACCCCGGAACTGGTTCATGGAAATATATGGACACACTTATATAATATATATTAGACATATATTGTAATATGGAAATACGATGTGTGATGCTTTGTTTCTTCTAAGCGCTTCACAGCGGTCTAGCCAGCAGCCTACAAGAACTATCCCCCCAGGTGCACGCTCCTGTCCAGCTCGGATCGCCGAATCGGGTCCAACCTGGGAGAACACGTCGGCAAGGAAAAGCATACTTTGGGAGACTGAGACTGAGCTTCCAACGGCTCATTTCAGAAATGCTTAGTGTTCACTTGTTAAACGTATCGAAAAAGGAACAAGAAAGGATCAAGTGTACTTCTCCCAACTCGGAATTGTAATTGCATGCAGCATCACTGCTTCGAGGCTTGATTAACGAGTCCCAAATGACAGTTGCTTGACATAGTGCAGCCAGGCTACAAGAGGTCCTGGTAAGGCAGTCAGTGCTTCAAACTTTTTGAGACAAGAACATCATCTTGCGATCTTGGGACACTCTGTGACTTAATTTCTAGTGTCGTAAAATCATTTAGCAACACAACACAACATCAAACCGCCCCTAGCTTCCAAAAAAAACACACAAATGATCATACGCTCTGATCGAACGGCACACACACAAATGATCTAGCACGTCGAGCGCCGAAATGATTCGACCTGCGATTTGCTTCGGACATCGCTCTGATGAGCATCCGCCCTGACTGGGGAACACCTCACTGGGCCCTGGCATGCTGCCTCCAGTTCTGCTCGATGTCTGGTCCACCGACGTTGGTTCAAAAGCGAGGCGGCATTGAGGCAGCAAACAATGCGTTCTGAACAAGTGCAGTTCGATCAGCATTGGAACACAATCTTGGGCCAATCGAACTCGGTCGAGTCTGGTGGAAGTTACAATGGCATCTCGTGACAGTCATTCATAACCAACGAGGGTCATGACACTGCGACGGAAGAATGGCTCGGCGTCCTTCGCCCGCGTCAAGCGATCGAACTTCTCGGCTGCCTCGCGGTGGAACGTTCAGCGGAGTCACGTTGCTGCGACCAGCTTAGCAGAAGGAAGTGTGTGCCAGTGTGTTGGATTAGAATTCTGTGATCCCATCAGCATGACAAAGTCTTGGATGATTAACCTGTTCCTCCTTCAGCACAACCGTTGTTGCCCGTCATTCTCTTACAAACCCAAAAACAAGCAAACACATTTATATACATGTTACAGAAAGGATATGAAAGGATATACCATACAATATGAGTTGTGCAACGCAACATTGAAGGATTATAAGTTAGCTAAACACGTGTGTGGAACCATATAATACATATGTCGTATAACTTGCAGTATAACCAAACATGTCAAGTCGATATATAAACAGTTTTGCTTCTTGCCAAGCATGCTAAAACAGTTTGTGTCAGAAGCTACTCTAATCCATAGCCATTGAGAACTATGTTTACATTCCAAATGGGAATGATTGTGTCAAAACCAAACACATAAACACTGCATGACACTCTCGGTTGCAGAAGCAACTTGAATTAAACCTTCTGCCCAAGACCTTGAACAACCTTAAGACTTGGGTGATGAACCAGCAGCGCGCAACAAACGGAAACAATGCCTCTTCGTCGTCAGGATTTCCTTGGTGGACAAGTACAAAAGGGTGTTTCGAAAAGACGTGGGTGCAGTCCAGGAATTTGAGCTCAAGACTCGGTATATATGTACATAAACATTAGCAATATTACTTCAATAGTGATGTATTCATATTGATGACGACAACAACAAAACGCCAACACGTCAATAACAAAAAGACTGTATATAAGCTAAAGTGGCTATCGCTCGAACCCTTCCCACCTACTCGTCCGTCTTTTTTAATTTAGCAAGAGGGGCATTTGCCTTCCAGCTGATGCGCACAAATACACAATCTATACCGTGGTGATCTGCCTCATGATATGAAAAACATGAATCCATAATCCAAGTCGTTCACAAGGACGTGGATGAACTCTACGTTCACCACCTGTTTGGTCTTCTTCCACATGGTCATCGTTTCGGGGCCATGCCACTTCCATGACTCTACTCTTTCGGGGCACCACTGGTCAAACCCTTCAACTCTGCCATCCAAGCTTCTGTCCGGATGGCACTTCAAAGAGATCTTTCGGTACGCGGTCTGAAGCGAAGGATGACGGAGACTGACCCGGGCTACGTTACTTCGTGACTGGTCGTCTTCATCGGTGGGACTGGGACATTGTTGCAGTAAGTAGAGTGTACACATACCATGTCCACATCGGACTATCAACATATATCAACAGTTATAATACTGTAATCAAACACTGTAATAATAACTGTAACACTGTAATCCTAGTTAAAATATACTGCTTAATATACTGTATACCGTATATCAACATTAATGTGCATGTGGGCATCAGTCCATGAAACATGGATACTTTACCAAAAAAATCTATCCCAGGGATCTAAGAAATCATTGCCGTGACAGACTTTGGAAGGGTTCCGTGACTCACTTTCTGGTGGCTGGGCCTTGATCTCCTTCTCACCGGCATCGTCTTCAAGCTCTAACAACTCGTAGGCATTGTCCAAGTCATCTTCCTGCGAGGCATTCTGCGCAAGGCTTTCTGTGCAAAACTCAGCTCCATGCACGCAGCGGCTTCGTGAAGCACGCACCGTAAGGTTGCATAATGACGTGCAAAAAACACACCATTAATTGAGAGTGCAATGCAACTGCAAATTCATCTTTTCAAGGGTATTTGAACCCATTTCTATCCATTTTGGAGAGCTTGCTTGCTGACAAAAAACCTGTGCTTTGAGGCCGGGCATGCATATGCTGCACCTCTCATGCCCTTTCACACTCTCGTGCCCGCACTTTCCCTCACCTTTCCAATATGTTCCAAGACGCTTTCTGTGTGAAAAAGGGCAAACCTAGGGTCTATCCGAATAACAGTAACAGTGGATGATGGCTAGGTTGCAGGCCTTGTTGAAAAATAGTGATTTGCTTGTTTTACTGACTGTTGCAGGTACGTTCGGACAGACCCAAGGCATCCCAAGGCAAACATCACGGTACGTTCGGTGCTCTTCAGCCTTCGACCAGTGAGTCATGTCTGAGTCACCTGTGGTCCATGTCTGCGGGCTGGGTCAATGAGAAGTCTCTTGACCATCGATCCAAAGAACAGGAGCACCAGCCACTTCAATCACTAGTCCCCGAATGATCACTTTCCCAACTTACCTGACTATCTACTGAACCCTCAGGATGATCCTCATGCTCGCAATCAACATCTGTAACATCCGTATCTTGAACAGTCCTTTCCCTTGCCCACAGCACCACCCTCGCCCATGCTGGACGCCGGCGAGTGGCGGCTGGGCAAAACCCTGCGATCCGATGGTGTTATTCGATGTCAAAACATGTTTGTCCATGCTCCCATGTCTGCAAAAAGCGGAAAGAAACACTACTGTATGCTAGCTATGTTCTGTTGGTGTTGGCTGTTTGTTTGACCGACAAATATCTATGTCCGAGCCAGTAAATGCCCTGTACATTGGACAGGCACTGAATGACACCACCTTCGCTTGCTTTTGTGCACCTAATTAGTCCTTCATTGGAAAAAAGAAACGCACTAAACAACAACACTAAGTGATTGTGTACCGCTCTCTTCCTGGCCCAAAGGGTCTGGGTCAAAACTCAGTGTCATTAGTGAACAGCAAAAAAAAATGAACAGTTCTATGTGTTTAATCTTTTTTCTGTGTTGCTGCTTAGCTGCCAGGTTCTTGAATGCTTAGCCTTAATTCTGACCATGTCCAAACCTTGCACCTTGATGCGTTGAATCACAATCGAATTCTGCTTGCAATCCTGAGCCAAAGGACAGCCGAGTTGGGTAAAATACGCGTAGTTCACTTGCATCAGCTGAAAAGGCCATTCTGGGAGCTCTTCCGCAAACAGCGGAGCTCGGCTGTGGGTCTGAAAAAATGCCCTCCTCGAAGTGCCAATCCCTCCCACTCCACCCTTGAAAAATGCGCACCGATAGGAGACGCATCATGCCATCATAGAACTTCTTGTCAGCATACGCCGGCACCTGGTCGAGATGTCTTCGAAGCACAAGCAGTTAGCTAGCAGCTAGGCCAAGTTCGCAACAAACGGCAGTGGTTGAAGAGGCTGTTGAAGTGGGTGGTGATGGTGGTCTCAAAACCGTCCAGTGTGAAACCATTGCTGAAATATGCTGAAATACAGTGCCTTCATCAAATAATGTTGTTACATGTTGCTACCATTTGCTACCTGTCGATGCTGTTCGATACGTCAATTCGACGCGCTGTTCGATCAAGGAAGGCCTGACATCCACGTGCTCCCGTCGTGTGGTTGCGAAGGACGACCGGATATGACAGCTAGTATCAGCTAATGCAGGTGTGTATGGTAATAGCCGGGTGTGTAGGACCCCCAACGAAAATGGGTTTTGGTCTAATTAATTCTTTAATATTCTTTATATATCATTCCCCTTGTCACCTGTGAGGTTTTGGAGAGGTTTGCTGCCACTGGTCGCATCTGTGTCATGTCTGTTGCCAAAGTTCTGCCTCACACTGGCCCACCAACAGGCGCCTCGATGGTAGTGACTGGCATGCCAGGCTGTGTATAGGTCATCACGGGAACCTTTTGCAAGGAAGCAGATCGACACAGGCCTTCTCTGTGTTTCCAACAAGGACGGGGGCATTCCAACACAGACTGCGTACAAGTCTGATTGACTGGCGTTTGCCAAGGAAACCGGGCGAGGGTGTCAGGGTAGGTCTGACAAGCTTTGCTGACACCTGTCTGAGCGTTAGATTAAGAGAAGCATTCCACAAATGCTATGTGAAGCACACATCTTGCAAACTAACTATGCGTGATCTCTGCAAGTTCCAAATCAACTCAATAAGTTCAAGACGGGCTACCGGCTTCAACTCGCTTGAAGAAATAGCTCGTAGGGGTCAGTGGGATCAATCATCATCCTAAGAATTGGGGGAGATGCCTGCGTCTACCGTGCCCAACACGCCGGCACCGCGGAACCGCTTCGAACACACCCGGAACTGCCACGCCTCGCCCGGCGCCAGCCCCGCCCGGCGATCTTGGAAGGGGTCCTGGACGAACCGATCTGCGACCGACCCCAATAGGTCCATCTTTGTTCGCGACGAGTAAGTAGCTCCTGGCATCGCTACGAGTAAGTAGCTCCTGGCATTAGTACTAGGAACAAGAAGCTCATATTCGTCATATTTATGGAAAAGAACCACCCCGAGAAGATGTAGGTTCTTTATGGTTCTTTTTGTTGCGCTTCTTAGTAGCCAAATTGGTTTATTGATGGTTTATGCCAGGAGCCTCTACAAAAGAAAATAGACCGCACATGACCGCACCATGGAGTGCCTCAAAGATAAGAATGAAGATGCATGAAGCTTCCGCAAGTCCAGACCAGATGTAATTCCAACTCTGAATAGGTCGGTCACTCTGAACTGATGCATCGAGTCCCCAGGGCCTTAGGCGTCACTACTGGCGTCACTCGATGAATATCATTCATTGTCATGCTCGCAGCATGTCGCAGCTCCAAAAGGCTCAGTAGGTGATCTCCTCCATGACATCCTCCTCATCGAGGATCAGTTGTGCAGGCTGCCCGGGCACCAGCCTCGGCAGGCACAGCGAAGAACCCGCAGGTGATCTTGCCTCTTTGAACGATGAGTCACACTGATCCTATCCGATCCCTATACTTGGATTTCAGCCCATTTGGATAGGGGCTGTCAGAACCTACCTACACGTTCACATGAAGCCAATGGTCGTTGCACTGGGTTGGAATGCAGAGCTTGTGAACAAACTTATGGTCCATTGTTAACTCCAAGAACTCGCTCACTATAGCATGAAGACCACAAGACGAAAAGCGCGGCACTGGGTTGAGAACTTCCCTCCTTCGTGAAAAACACAGGATTGGTGCTTGCCAGGCTGCCAAGCTTCCGGGGTTCCTTGCTTTTTACCTCTAAGTGGCCAGCCAAGCCCCCTGGAGCAGGGTACGTATCAACTTCACGTTAAGCCTTTTCCATCTCAAGATCCAACTTCTCAGTAAAATTATGCACACCGCTCGTTGTTCTCTTATCTCTATCCCTTCAGTGCGTTTTCGATCCACTGGTCGTCAAGATACACTCCAAGCCGAGTCCCCCAGCACTGCCATGGCGTTGTGACGCCCGCGCGAGAGTATCGCTCCCGCGGTTGGAGCTGAAAAAGTAGAGTTGACCGGGAACCGTGCATCATGTCAATGTGCTGTTCAGGGGCGGACAACATGCCTGCATACACAAACTGCTCACTCAGAAAACCAAATTCATTGCATTTCAATCCATCTGAACAATGTGAAACTCCGGCAAAACACACAGTTCTGCCATTGGTGAAGTATCCCTTATGATCCCATGCATGTAGAGTTGCGGGGTGTCACCAATCCATGCTATTGGAGAGTGTGAACCGATGCATGGCCTTGGGAGTCTGGGAAGGATACCAACCCATAGAACGTCCTCCATGATCGGCTGCCTCGTGGTGGAGTTCATGCATCAACCCTACAAGCGACAGATGTCAAAGTGTGGCAGAAACTGTGGAACCCTGTTCGGGCGGTTGCAAATGTGCAAAGTCAGCATGCAAAACACAGTTCAGCCAATAAGGCCAAACATGAGTCCCATCCTTGCGAATGGGCCTTGCCATGTATCTTCCCGCACCCCGAACAGTCGCATCTGAGATTTTTTTCACTCACATCACATGAAGTCATCCACTTCCAAATCCTCCCAGACGGCGCAGGCGTTGGACTCTTCGTTGTAGGGACTGTGCTCGTCTTCTAAGTGGAAAGGGTTGATTTTGAAAGCACTAACAAAGTCAGAGAGCCCGGCTGCCATGCTGGTCGTGTCATGAGAACAGTACACTTGGCTCTAGTCAGAGTGTGTAACCCCAGACATCCCAGGGTCAGGATTGTCCCAAATTTACAAGCTTAGTTTAAAGGCTGGACTTGTTGGGTAGTGTTGCTTGCCTTCGTCTTGACAACACCAGTCATCTTGTTACCCTACAAAATGTACCAAAAGTTCAGGACAACTAGGGTCCTCACAATACATCGGAGTTATGATTTCTATGCCGCAATGCCATCCTTCTTTCCTCTCCAAACCACCCTAAATTCCTAAACCAGCAAGCTTCCAAGAGAAGACGCCCAAAAGCATGACTTTTTCTTTTTCGGCATGTGGTGCCTACGTACTGTTCCATTCATATGGGGAGTTGATTGATGTTGATAGTTCGATCCTGAAAAAAAGAAAAAGCATGTTGTTTGGGAAATGATCGCCGATCGCTGTGCGAAGCACAACAACTCAACTCACCCGTAGGCAATGAATCAGATAGCTTTGCTGGTCAGCCATCAATTCCGAAAAGGAAAGTAACCTTTTGCTCGTACCCAACCTTGATGAGCAAAACAGGTCTGTTCTTTTTTTTGCTGCACTCGGGCATGCCTATCGAGCTCGCTACCCGTTGAAGAGTGAGGGTGTCCACTTCACCGTTGCCCTCTACACTGAGTCAACGGCCGGATGGGGTAAAGCATAGATAGAAGAACAACATTGACGAAGATTCGGGTTGAAAAAGGTATTTTCTTTAATTTATATAATAGACATAGAGATCTCAGAGATGCTTCAGTCCTTGTTCTGCCAAACATCAAAAACACAACAAAACACACCAACCAGGAGCACTATTGGGTCGCCTTGAAGTTCGGTCCAGCCAACCGAAACAGCCTGATCCTCCCGGTCTCACAGGACCCATCTCTCCTGGCCCTTCTGTCCATCCTCGTCGCCACCGTCGCTCAAGCCCGCATCACTGAGCACGTGTTGCGCATGAACCAAAATCATCAGAGCGAACGAAAGGGTGGTCACGCCAGGTCTTCCAACAAAAAAAGGGGCAGCGAAGTCCAAACCCAAGGAATAAAAGTTAAATGATGTCCAGCCTTCGGGAAATTTTCCGTGTCCGTGTCACTGCTCATGATCCAGACTTGTGTAAAGCGTTTGATGTTTCAAACTGCACTGTCACCCACACGCCAACCGTACCTGTCAATGTCCCCAATCTCCGGCATGGGAAAGCGCAAGACGCCAGCGATGCCACTCAGCTTCTGGGCACACGAACAGCATGCTGAACGTCAGGACTTGTGTGAGGCAAATCAGGGAACTCCAAATAAAGCTTTCTCCAGCCGAGATATCCTCCAGGGATGGAGGATGTACTGTTTCTGTTGCTCACCAAACTTTTGGGGATTGAGTCCAGTCGCCCAGCCCACCAGAATCGGAAAGTTCTGCTAGGGAACTGGGCTCGTCAGTGATCAAATAACTGGGCTTTGCAGGTCTCTACCCACTGGTCGACACAAGCCTCAACCTTCATAGTTTTCTTCCGTATACCCAGTGGTCAAGCTACGCATGTCCGTATTTCTCCGTCAGCCAGGAACTCAGGGCATCCATGAAAACTCAGGGCATCCATCTTTAGACTTTCGTCGCAAGACGCAACGAACCCCCGACCCTCCCATCATGCCCCATCTGCGATCTTATCCTGCAACTGCTCGCCACTGACGTGCTGGGAGGAGAAGATCTGACAGGTGGCACCCTGCCATAACGATGAGATCGATCGGCGCGATCTATCGAAGCAATTAAAACCTGAGTGATCCACTGGCAGATTCCGAAAGTTTCGGGGTTACTGACCTCTTGGGCTGCTTCCTAGAACTGCGTAATGTCAGGAAATAGCAATCTTTACCTGCTCTTGACTCCTGCAACACTGCGGTCGCTAGCACAGCTCTGAAGTTGTCGAGTGGAAGATCCTGACCAAAATCCGCACAATCTGCCCAAGCCTTTGGGCTGGATCGATTGGATCGTTGGTTTCCTTCCTTCGTTGGTTTCCTGTTCTGTTTGTCGCATACGGCAAGTTGGATCGTTGTCGCATATGTGGCCAAATCAGTGAGCGAAGTGTCATCATCTCTTGGTCGAATCGTGAATCGTTCTGGCCAGAAGCTAGATCTATACAGAGGCAGGACAATAGTTGGTAACATGCCTGTGAATACATGGTACAACCCTTTCCCCTTTGAATCCTGGAGGGGGTCACAGTGAAATTTCGGCGGATGAATGTCCACCAAAGTAAATATATATATATATATATGCAATGCGAGCATTGTGACAGTTTGCTGTCCAACCGCCACCAGTCAAGTGGATCAAAAGAAGCTGTCCACGGGCCAGTTCGAAGTCGCACAGCCACTTCATAGGAGAGCCCCGTAGGTTTCCTTGTCCTCTGGACTTGAGGTAGACGTAGGCTGTGCTGACCGCTTACATGGTAGCGGAGCCCAAGGTGGCATCCGAGTAGATTTGATTTGTATAGCTGTAGGTGTTAGACCCCTACGAGCAATGACAGCGATCGAGCGCAGCAAGGATGGTGTGCCCCAATGGGATGGCTCAGCGAGCACATTCCAAGAATATAGTGAGCTGGCGGAGCATTGGGAACAGACCGTGCCATACCACAAGCGGTACCTGTGTGGACCAAAACTCATGAATGAGTTGTCAGGCACTGCAAGACGCTTCATCATGTCGAAGCGTCCAGGATGGCTATCCCACAATGGAGGGGTTCAGACCCTGCTAGCTCACCTTCGCCAGCACCTTGGCCTGCCGCAGCTCTCTGAGATGAGTGAGTACATGAACCGATACTTCAAACAGAGCCGAAGGAAGCGCAATGAATCCATGAACGAGTACATCACTCGGAAAGCAGAGCTCTATGCCCGTACTGAACAGACTCTCAGAGGGCACAGAGTCACTATGCCCCACGCTCCGAGGCAGGAAGTCTTCCTGCCATTGAAGAGCCCCTGACACCGCCAGAAGATCCAGTATATCATGATGCACAGGAGGAACAATCTGCTCCTCCATCCACAGGAAATGAGTCAGCCGGAGATCCAGGGCAACGTACTCCGACAGGTTCAAACCAATGGGACTGGAACACTTGGCGAGAGTGGGGAGCTCATGGGTGGGATTGGAATGACTCTCAATGGCAGGACCGTGACTGGCAACCAAGCCAGACGTCATGGCACACAGACTTCGAAACCAAGCCCAGGGTGCAACTTCTACCCGACTTTGTCCAAGGCTGGTTCCTCTTACAAGACGCCGGACTGGACACCAATGAGAAGAATATGATCCAGTCCGCCCTGAAGAATGACTACCGATTCCACAGAGTGGCGCAAGAATTACGCTGCCAGTGGAACGACGAAGACCTCAGGAAGAGAGATCAGGGTGGTCGAGCGACAGCCTGGACGGTGGAAGAAGAAGATCATGACCCATTCACCGGAGACCTGGAAAGCCCGGACCTGAGCCTCTTGGCCTCAACAGGACTCAATGCCGATGGGTTGGCATTGGTCAATGAAGCTGAGTTAGATGCTCAGGAGGCCTTGGCTATGATGGAGAAAGGTCGGAGGACCTGACAGCAGTATGTGAAGTTGAGCCGTCAGTATTACGGCAATCCAGGTCGATCTTTCGGAAAAGGTGCACCCGGACACGCGAGAAAGGAGAACCCGAATACAAGCTCTGCAAGGTGTCTGAGTTGCGGAGGACAACACAGGACAGATGAATGTCCCAAGAAGCAGAAGAGCTTCCAGAGCCAACATGAACCTGACGACCAAGCTCCCTTCATATGCTTGACAGATCAGGTCCTCGCCACCGACTATACGAATGAAAAGATCACGACACAACAAGCTGTCCTACAAGGGAAAGCGGTCGTGGACGGTTGGGCTCTGTCGTGGCCTTGGAACACCTCATGCGCCTCAACCAAGAGCAGAGCGGGAAGGATGGACTCTCAAAGCTGGACACCACTCAGAGGCCAGTTTTTGGCTTCGGAAATTCCTCCAAGGACCAGTGCTTGTCGACGGCATGGATGTCCATCCAGGCCGGTGGCCGGTCCGGCCAGTTGAAAGTCCACACCTTAGATAAGGGTTCAGGACCAATTTTATTTTCGATAGAGACTTTGCGAGCCCTGGGAGCTATCATCGATTTTGAGCATGATATGATTTGCTTTCGAAAGCTCGATCCAGGCCGCATAATTCAGCTTGAACAGTCAAGTTCAGGCCATCAGTTGATTCCCCTCACCCAGGATTGGTACGAGGCCTCCTCACCAGCTAAGGAGCCCGTCTGCAGTTTGAAAGACATGATTTAGGGACAACTCCTCTCTTCGTCGCCGTCTGCCGACAAAAGAGAGGACCAGTATGCTGCAGACCTGGGTGAACAGTCAAGCCACAGTCAAACTCAAGAAGAAAGACGTGTTGTTTTTGAAGAGAGTGATTTTCAGTGTGTTGTCGATTCGTCGTTGAAGGGAAAGGGACAATCACAAACGACACACTGTGATACCTCACAAGACAAATACCACCACAAACTGCATGACACACATGAACAATCCACACACGCGGCAGCCGCAACAGCTCGAGAGGCAGAAAACCACTCTTTGGCAATCCAGCCTTCCTCGATTTCCAGCGGACATGCCCACCATGAAGAAGCCAGAACTCATCCAGGCCCTGAAGGACCTGGGAGAGACTCCTCCAAAACAATGGACCGTGCTGGAACTCGAGACCCGCCTTTCCGAGCTCCGAGTGGAGCAAGGCCTGCCCGAGTTCGATTCCAAGAAGACTCGGACACCACTCCGGCAGATGATGGTCGAGCTGAATCGTGCTCAACGTCTGAAGCACGAGCTGGTGGAACATGTCTCCAAGACTCTGCGAGTGCCCCTGACCGGGACCGAGACCATCAAGGTCCTGATGCAGAAGGGCATGGCAGCCATCTACGACCAAGCTCCAGCGAGTGGCCAAGACCCAGTCGGGTTCGGGAAGCACGCCAGCCTGAGCTACGAAGAGATCTGGATCAGTCATCGCTCCTACGCCACATGGGTGATGGACACCTCATGGGAGAACGGGGACGATGCTTGCCCCCGACTTCACCGCCTGGCCAATTGGCTGGAGGAGCGAAAGAAGAGAGTGGACATTGCCACACCACGAAAGGCAGCAGCTTCATCTCACACAGATCCAGCTGTGCCGACAACCCAGAAGAGCATGACCGGACCATCAGGGACATCATCCGGCTACGAGAAGCCGAACCCCGGATCCGATCACAAGACACACGAGATGATCCAGATGTTGGCCAACACCGTGGTGGAGCTCAAGGAGGAGATGTCAGCCCTGAAGGGAGAGTTGCCCCGCAAGGGTCAACGATCAGCTCCTTCGGAGGTCACGGACCAGAGTTTCGAGCTGATGCCTCCGTGAGTTTGGGCCTTAGCAAAGACCTTAGCTGCAGCGACCATAGTTTGAGACATGGTTATGTCTCAGAAGGGATGGAACAGGCAAGCTCTGCGAAACGTTTGAGTAGCGGAATGAACCGACATTTGTCTCAGAAAACAGATTCCATGTTGCCTGAAACCATCCAATCCTTGGCCCTGCACGAAAGGTGTGTTTTGTTAGAAATCGCTTGTAGCCAGGAGAGTTTGTTGAGTAGCACCATGCACACTATAACTGGCTCGGAGAAATCCGCACAGCGACTTTCGATATGGAACCACTTCGATCTGAGCAAAAATGATGGTGTCCGCTCGATCTTGGACCGCATCGATCGTGAACGACCATACCACACCTGGCTGTCCATGGAGTGTAGCCCCTACTCGGTCATGCAAAATATTAACCAGAGAACCCCTGAACAGAAGGAACAACTGGAACAAAAACGCCGTGAAGTTCTCAAACAATACGTAGGTGGAGCGATTGTGTTTCAATACTGCATCCAAAGAGGACTTCACGTGACCTGGGAGTGGCCTCAGAGATGCCAGGCATGGAGATTGCCTCTGGTGCAGCACCTGATGCGAAAGTACCGTGTGCATTTTGCTATCACTAGAGGTTGTCAGGTGAACCTAAGGGATCAGGCCGGAAGGTTTATCTCTAAGGGTTGGAAGGAAGTTCATGTCTACTAGCTACCACGTGGCTCAACGTATGGACCTCCCATGTACTTGTAAGAAGGAAACGACACACGTGAGCTGTGAGGGTTCTTTGACACGCCAAACAGCTTTTTACACGCCGGAGTTCGCTAGGAGGGTTTGTGAGACCATCCTTCAAGGAGACGCACCCCAAGAGATTCGAAAAGAACTGGAGGGTTGTTTTGAGGGTTGTGATCTGTTTGGTCGTGGTTTGATGTGTGTTTGTGAAGACGGAAAACGACACGATGCAAACCTCCAGTGTGGTTCATGTCGGAGTGATCTGACCGGGATTCTCGCCGCTGACGAGGAAGTTCCATGTTCACTTACCAAAGACCAAATTCACAAGAAACTGTACCTCCTCCATTCGGCTACCGGACATAGCCCCACCAAGTACCTTGTTCAGGCGCTGCGACGCCGAGGGGTTCACAAGAAAATAATTGAGGAAGCAGAGCGCTTCACCTGTTCCGTATGCGCGGAACGTGCACGTCCGCAGCCCAGGAATGTTGCGGCACTTGAACCCCAGCCACCAAAGTTCGCGACTTTGTCGGCAGACGTGGGAAACTTCATACAACCAAACACAGGTGAACACGTTCAATTCGTGCTGTTTGTTGATGAGGGATCTAGGTTTCGGGTGGCCCGAATCGTCACGAAAGGTAAGAAACAACACCCATCGGCCGCACAGTTCATCACAGTGCTCAAAGAAGCTTGGATATCCTATTTTGGAACCCCTTTGAATCTCCGTTTAGACCCCGATGGCGCTTTTCGGAGTAGGGAGTTGCTGGAGTACTGCGATCAACACCAAATATTCCTGGATATCATTCCAGGCGAAGGACACTGGAAGTTGGGAACATGTGAACGCAGTATACAAGCAATAAAGGAGTTGCTGTACAAGGTATGTTCCGACATGCCAGACATTTCCATGGAAGATGCCCTGTCGGAATGTGTTCGTGTCCTCAACAACAGAGAAGTTGTACGCGGTTATTCACCGATTCAGCATGTTTTGGGAAGAGCACCAGACGATACAGGACGATTCTTCACACCGGACACCGCCAACTCACCAGACCTCTTGTCAGAAACGCCAGCACAAGAACACCAGCGAACAGCAGAGTTGCGACTAGCAGCTGAGAAGGCGTTTCTTGATTGGAACAACAACCAAAGATTGAGTAGGGCGAGAAACTCCAAACATCATCGTTTGTTGGATTTTACAGCAGGTGATTTGGTGTATATTTGGAGGAAACAAGTGACCGGTAAGGATGCACAACCAGTGAAAAGTACACATGGAAAATTTGTTGGGCCAGCCCGGATCCTTGCTACAGAAAACCGGAGAGATGACCAGGGTCATCTAATTGCAGGATCCTCGGTATGGTTAGTCAGAGGCCGTAGATTGTTGAAATGTTGTCCAGAACAGTTGAGACATGCCTCCGAACGCGAGAAAATCCTGGACGAGTTGCATTCAGAAGAGTCTCAACCATGGAGCTTCCCGAGAGTAGCAGAAGAGTTGGGAGGAAATGACTATGAAGACTGGTCAGAACATCCAGAGGAAAGTGAATGGCAACGTGCAGGAGACCCTCGACATGAATGGCAACCACATGTTCGACAACGAGGCAAACGACCTATGCCACCTGACTACGAGGTAGACGTGTGTCCAGAAGGATCAGCCAGTAGCCGGCTGAGGCGATCAGTTGACTTCCATGAAGCCCCAGATGAGAACATGCTGGCACAAAGCCTGGTTCCACCGTGTGGATTCCAGTCGGGAACAACATGGATCCAGCAAGTCAAAGAGACAGCATTTCTCACAGAAGAGGAAGAAAGTTTCTGGCAACAAGAGACCGCAGCAGTATCCATTGAGATCGACATGCCACAGACACGAGGAGCTTCAGAACGAGCTTTCAAGAACCTGAGTGCCTTCCCGGTGTCAGCCATGAAAAGAAAGACCATAGAAGTCTCAGAGAAGCGAATGACCCCAGAAGAACGCATCGCCTTCCAGAAGGCAAAAGCAGTGGAGGTCTCCAACTTCATTGCCGCAAAGGCGTTTGAAGCATTGCCGAAGGGATACCGAGCTCGAAGAGAAGACGCAGTCAGGATGAGATGGATCCTCATCTGGAAGCAACTGCCAGATGGTGGCCGGAAGGCAAAGGCAAGAGCCGTGTTGCTTGGCTATCAGGACCCTATGTATGAAGGACGAGCAACGACATCACCAACTACCACCAGGCAAACGAGACAGATACAGCTGACCATAGCAGCATCCAAGGGCTTCCAGACCCGCAAGGGCGATGTCACTGGAGCCTTCTTGCAGTCTCGAGAGTACCCAGATGAGTTGCTATGCATCCCATGTCCAGAGATTCTGGAGGCGATGGGATTAGCGCCAGAGACCATGACAAAAGTTCGGAAAGCATGTTATGGACTGGTCGATGCGCCACTTGAGTGGTACAGATCGATCAGTGAATATTTCCATACATTGGGACTTCGACGTTGTTGGTCAGACCCATGTTGCTGGACTTTTGTGGACAAGAATGAACTTCAAGGCATCATATCAGGACATGTCGATGATTTTGTCTTTTCAGGAAATGAAGATAACGTAGCCTGGAAGTCAATCTTGGAGTCCATACAGAGACAATACAAATGGTCAGATTGGGAAAGCGAACAGTTCACACAATGTGGCATCAAGGTTGAACGCTACGCAGATGGAACCTATGCACTTTCCCAAGAAGCATACATAGAAGAGCTGAAGTACATCAACATTCGAGCACATAGAAAACAAGACAAACACAGCGAAACCGATGACTGGGAGAAAGGATAACTTCGAACCTTGCTTGGAGGTGTCAGCTGGTTGGCACAACAGACAGCACCACACTTCTCAGCAGAGACGAGCTTGTTGCTATCGGAAGTTTCACGCAGTACCGTAGAGACCCTGCATCGTGCAAATAAGCTGATGTGTCAAGTGAAGGCCATGAAAGACCACAAACTCTTGATCCCCAAACTCCGTTTGGATTCCCTGGGTTTGTTTGTTTGGTGCGACGCCGCAAACCAGAACCGTATTGATGGCAGTAGTACTCAAGGCTATATCATAGGTGCCTCACACCTCAGCATGCTCGAAGGGGCTTGTGAACATGTTTCCCCGATTGCTTGGAACTCATCCCGTATTCAACGGGTTTGCAGAAGCCCCGGAGCGAGTGAAGCAGCAGCAGCAGTAAATGCTGAAGATGCCTTGTATTTTGCAAGGTTTCAATGGTCTGAAATGATAGGTAGGCCCATGCACTTAAGACATGTGAACGAAGCCGTGAACACCGTTCCAGGTTGCTTGATAACCGATTCGAGAAACGTATACGATAAGATGAAGACTGAGGTCGTATGCACCCGAGGTACGGAGCGAAGAGTAGACATCGAGCTGATGAGTTTGAAACATGGCCAGCTAAGGAACGCAGTGGTTATTCGATGGGTACACAGCGACGCCCAATTGAGCAATTCGCTGACCAAGAACGAGCAGAGGCAGTTGCAGCTGTTCTACAAGATGCACCAGAAGTGGCGCATTGTCCAAGACACCAACATGGCATCCGCCAAGAAGAGGAAGGAACAGAACATAGACCCACTGACAAACAACATCACCTCACAACATGAACCAGACAAGCAACAGAACGACAGTAACTAGAAGTCCCGGACCTGGAAACGCGCTGTTTCGTGGTTCGCTTGTTTTCTTTTTCGAAGAGTACGCAGTGGCTTGATTGCATTTAAAGGGGACCCGGTGGCATGCAATGCGAGCATTGTGACAGTTTGCTGTCCAACCGCCACCAGTCAAGTGGATCAAAAGAAGCTGTCCACGGGCCAGTTCGAAGTCGCACAGTCACTTCATAGGAGAGCCCCGTAGGTTTCCTTGTCCTCTGGACTTGAGGTAGACGTAGGCTGTGCTGACCGCTTACATATATATATATACCTGGAGCCTGGAACACCTACCAAAATCTAGTCGTTTTTGATTTTTTGATCGACCATCAAAAAAACAAATCCAAGACCTGTGCCGGTGTCACAAAGGGCACTCCAGGGATTCCAAAGTGTATTGAATAACAACACCAAAGTTGCGCCATAAAGTTGAGCGTTTGCGTCGTTTTGTTGATCGTTTGCGTTGTATTTTTGGTTGTTGTTTCAGGTGGTTCACACAACGGCGTTGTGTTTCTAGTCGTTTGAGTCGTGTTTATAAATGTTGTGTTGTATTTTTAAGCGTTTGGGTGTCTCCAGCTCGTTTCCGGCAAGGTTTCCACATAGCGAAAGCAGTCCTTGATATTTTTTGATCGTTTTAGCCAAACACCCAAAAACAGAACACCAATGCCATGTGGCGTCTCAAAACTGATTGGCACTCAAAAAACGGTGATCGTTTGGGGTTCCAGGTATATATAACTTATTTCGGGGTGGAAATTAATCCGCCGAAATTCCATTGGGAAAAGGAAGTCAGTGAGATTCTCGAGTGAAGTTGTTACCAGACTTTCTTCCCCCTGAAGTGGCCGAGGAACTGGTGCCCGAAGTGCATGGCAGCGTACAGTATCGTACAGTAGGTTCCTTTGCTTGGTCATGTTCCTTTCGTGAAAGAATGAGGTATGAAACAGTATGAATAACATCTATTCTGTTGAAGGTTGATCTGCAAATGCCCATCAAGCTCTCCTTTTGCATCGGGCAGTCTGTGGATATTTTTTTGTTGGCCACCCATTCTGCAACAAGAAACTATTGATCATGTTGTTCCTTGAGTCCTGCGTTGCCGGCCCAAAACGAGGCAAAAACCACCATGTGTCACTCGTGGTGATGAAGCAAAGAATCTTACAGTAACCTTCAAAAGTCAATTGGTAAGCACAGCCATCCCACCGCAAGCTATGGGCAGTGTTTCCCTCGTTGCACTGGAGATTCGGCTACCAACATGGCCTGATCTCGCGCATTCTCCACCATGTCAACGTACCTGAACATCGCTAAGTTACGCTGAGTGGGAAAAAAAAGCAGCCAAGCCTACAAAATAACAACTCGTGCTTGATCGTGATGATTCGAGAAAAACCCTGAGAAACAAAACACAGGGAGGTATCAAACGTGTATCCTAAGCGGTTCTAGCAAACCTCAAAGAATTCAATGGGTGAATTAAGGTGAATTTCTTCTGACCTACACTCAGTTGGCGGCCATCATTCAATTCAATTTGTGGCCGTGCTCGGTGCAAATCAAACCCGCTGTCTGTCTCTTACCGCTGTCTCGCACAAGACGTGTTTGTCCCGCGGTGTCTGTCCACCGCGCGGCGGTAACGACGCGCTGGGCGGACTGTCTTCGCAACTTGACGTTGGCATTTCGAAAGAGCGAGTCCACGACCTGGACGGGTGACACCAGGTGACGCTCTCTCCGGAACCCAGCGACGGGGGGCCGGTCAGGGGCGTTGGTCTCTGAGATTCCGTAAGAAGTGGTGCGAGAAAAGAGTTGAACCAGTAAGCACGGGCACGAGTGATGGATCCACCTGTTGACTATGGAAGAAGGATTCAGCGGTAGATTCTCAAAAAGAGTATACAGCTTTGGATTACGATCCAAAAGTTTTCTATGTTTTAATGTTCCAGCAGCCGGCTGGTTCTGATTCTTTGGGAGACCAAAAACACCGAATAAATTATCCTTGAACGCCTCAAACAGCCATTTGGACAAGTCGCCAAGCCATTGTAGCCTATATATAATCTCCAAGGAAAAGGACTGCAAAAGGCTTCATTCGAAGACAATGACACTGCTCCAGCCCCAGCAGCCCTTTTGGTCAGCCCGGCCCACCAGCCAAACATCATTGAGAATTGGTTGAAGTTCGTCCGTTCAGGCGTGAATCTCATGTAATCTAATATATATTATACACTGTATATTAAATATTATAACTATATTAAAATTGTATAATAAATACTTGGCAAACTCCGTGCGGAACCCGCGCTCGCTCCCTCCGTTCGCACCATGAGGGTCTGCACCGCGCACTTCTCCACCGCTTCAAAGACCTCCAGTCCGCATCCGTCCGCGGCGGTCGGCCGGTCCGCCGGCGGAGTGGGGGGATGGTCTCAAAGGCTCAAGTGGCCATGATGGCCATCCACCTATACTCTTACTAAGAGGATTTAAGAGGTAGATGTTGCCCAGGACATCTAGGTCTACCATCAACACTCTCAAAAAGGGCCGACATCTGCACACAATGAAACGGGACGGGGCGTCTGTTCTCTCAATGCTCATCCGAGATATCTGCTCGTGTTCATTGTAAAAGGTCTCTGTCACCTCCCGTGGGGATATTCTGCAGTGCACACCTGTGGGCAAATTGCACTCAGCAGAGTTCTGTGGTCAGCCGTGAATGAATCTTGATGAATAGAACAGGGCTTAGAAAAGGCATATATATATATTGATCTTCAAGCCTTTTGAGCTCTGCACACCGCGATGGTAAGAACCCTCCTCCCTCCATGGTTTGCCCATGAGCGCCAGTTCCCAGTTCTTCATCGACCACACCTGCTTGGGGCCGTAGCACACACGATCAGGCCTAGGAGTGCAAAAGTGACAATTGAACATGCGTGCCTCTGACTCACTAACATGAAGTGGAAAATGGCCCCTTGGAAGACTATTCTTCTCTACAAACAGGGGGTGCCATCCACTTCCATGTTAGTGAGTCGGAGTGTAACACAAAACCGGGTCATAGGAAGAAGTTGTAATCGTGTGAATGGATGGTATGGATCCTTTCCAAGAACCTCATTCTGAGAAAATGTGTTTCTGGCAGCTGTGACTGTTCCAGTGACTCAACAGGCCATCTCCGAAAATCTGTTGACTTTGCCAAACAAACAAAGCGACAATGGAAAGGAAAACCTTTGGACATCGTATGACACAAAATGCTATCCTGACTGTTCACCTGAGTCCGAGCAAACACATCCTTTGGATTCCTTGCTGGATTGGAACAAAACAAGTCAAACCTTCTGATTCAAACCGTCGTCTGTTTCGACGTCGCCGTCTGAGCTCGCTGTAAAGTTTGCTCTCGGATCACTAGGTTCTCCACTCTTTCTGCACCATGAGATAAAACTCCTCTAAGGCCTAACAAGCGTCCACTTTTGGGCCGGATCCCAGAAATGATGCAACCGCAGTTGGCAGTTGGATGGCAAAGGCAACGAAGTCATGCTCCCTCAACTGGATCTCAAACTGCCTAGAAGAAACCCAGAGGGTCCAGGACCATCCTGAGGATGTTCTTTAGCCCCAAAAGACAATTGTCAGGAAGCACTTTGGCCTCCAAGACAATCCTCAGGAGGTACTTGGACCCTATGGGAAAGTATGAATTGGTCACAACAAAGTGCAAGTGTCCAAATTCTGCCCTTCCTAGTCCTCTCGCGATTCCTGCATGTTCCTGCAAGAGCCTTATAAACCGCACCGCTTTCAACAAAACACTCCACCTCTCAAAACTCCTTGTTGGACTATTTGGGCAAAAGGCAAAACTGTGAAGAAAAACACCAGATCAGATTTGAGCAAGGGGCTCTTGAGAGGGCATCCAAGTGAATCTCCCTGGACACTCTTGCTTGCCCTGCCATGGGGGATGACCTCAGCCCGTGCCTTCAAATGTGCGGCCGCCTTCGTATTGGCTATGCTCTTTTGCACCTTGCCATGGCTCAATGGGGCAGAAAGCAATCAAAGCAATCTGTCTCTCTAGAAGGATCCGTCTTCCACAACCCAATGTGTCAAGCTGTGATCAAATCGTCTGTTTCAATCTGTGCCTGCTCATCAGCGAGCAACTCCTTCAAAGCTTGTTTGTGCCTCCGCGCAACTGAGCGTGTCTTTCAACGAACAGCATCACACGTTCCCGGACATGCCGGAACAAAACGCGACAAACGATGTTCCCAAGCCCGCAATGCGGTCTTCCCCAAACCACGGAAGCACCCCAGCTATCGGATCGTCCCCGTGGTCACCCAGTCAGTGAGCCGAGGAGAGGACACACAGGAGGCATGGACGGAGACAAAGTTGCTTTTCTTCTGCAGGAGCTGCGTGTCCCTTGGAGCAAACAGGACATCAGGTGTGGATAGATCTGTAAGCCTCTGTTGTTACACGCACACAAATTGAAACAACAGGATCGCCAGAAAGAAATGGATTTATGTATTTTGTTATATTATGCTATGATTTTTATTGATATTATACATATCTCTATTGTCTTATGAATGGTTTCAACAACTGAAGCAAAAACACATTTCACCCGAGAACGGGCTCTACCTTTTCAATTGTTATACAAATTGACTTGAAGTTTTCAATTGTTATAGTTATACTATTTCAATGGTTTCAATTGTTATCGACCCGTTCGGGTTTCCTTGGAAGGGCTTTTCTTGACTTCCAAGACTCGCTTCGACGTTTTGGTGAGTGATCCGACGTTTCGGGTAACTCTGAGCCAACTCCAGGGATGGACTCCACTCACTTGGGTGGAATAGCCCGGGGGGGCTGGACCAAGCAACAGGCTTCAAGTGCTTCAATTCAAAAAGGGCTTATGGGCTTTCAGGGAATTCAGACATGTGTTGGTTCTGAATTTTAACACTCTTTGGGTCTCTTTATAATTACGGCATGATGAGGGAACTGGCCAGAGTGTTTTCCGATTTTTTCTGGTGCCTCTCGCGTCGTCTTTCAGCTGCACCCCTTCCTTCAAGCATCCGCACCCCGATTGGGTGGCCCTCTGGATCATCCAGGCTAAGAAGTCGTCCTGGGCAAACGAAGGGGGCGAAGGTCCCGACATCCAGACATCAACTGGGAGGCTCCTAGGAGGCTCAGAAATCCACACATCTATGAAATCACACCTGGGAGGTGTAGAGAAAATCCAAACAACGAACTGGCGCGTCACGTCCCCACAGTTGTGCCTGAAACATGTGGGGTCTGTCCCCTACACCACTGATCCAAGCGGTCATCGGATCCAGAAAGCCGAGAGCCTGACACCTTCGCCAATGATGAAAGCCTGACACCCTGTCCTTCACAAAGCCCGGGCCAGCAAGCAAGACACACTTCACCAGGTCAAGGTTCACATGGTCCTTGATACCCTGGTAGACCTTCCAGGAAGCAATGGAGCAATATGGAGCACCCTTCGTTGGAGCCTTTGGGCCCTTCCTAGTTGCTCATGCTTGGACACCCGAACAGAGAGGAAGCCAACAAAAACACTTTGATGAACTCCGAACAAAGCAAACGGTGCATGGAGGTTGCAGAGTGCTCACCCCCATTTCTGAATCAAACCGCAGCGAATCTGCTCGAAACCTGTTTGAACGCGTCCAATCGAAGTATATGGGTGTTATGTTATACCTTGACTAGTGGGTCGGCCCCTTTGTCTGTGGGGAGCTGGGAAAGGTGTGAAGCTACGTGGAGCCATTTGCAATTATTTGCTAGGCACTGGCGTGTAGACAAAAACAAACAGGAAGCTAATTCCAAAAAGAACAGAAGCTATTTGCAAATATGATACAAGAAGGGGAGGGCACAGCACGCCTTGAACTCTCTGTCTGCACGCACTGAAAATTGAACTTGTTTTCTCCTCACCCCCAGTCCCCAGTTGTCGCTGCTGGAAGGCCAACAGCTTGCGGACGAACAAAACCGCTATAATAATAGGGAGACCTCCCAAAACCTCTTGGAAGAAGGAAAGTAGACCAAAAACGACCAAAACCATCCAAAAACCAATTGGTTGGATGTCTCATGAGCCGCCTGAACTGCCGTCCATCCCGCGCGTCCATCAGCCGCACCTGCTCAAAGAAGCGCACCAAGGCCTTGTCGTAGTTGGTGGTGGTGGCCTTTGGCGAGATGGGACGGCGCCAAGAGGGGCTCTTGTCGGCTTGGACTTCGGAGCGAGGTGAGATTGGAAAACTTCTCATCTACCACTGAATATGGAACGCTCTCTCTACAACGGAGAAAAAAAAAAAAAAACATCTGTGCGGGCGAAGCTTGAAAACGTGAAGGCCGTTGTTGGAGAGCATCAAGCCAAGCAGTTGGCCAGTTCTATATCTGAGTTTCGTCGGAATCCAAGTGTAGAAGACTTTCCGCCTGGATTCGCTCAACATATTGGGGGGGTATTGGGGTACACTACCTACAATACATTGGACTCCATTGTTCGAAATCGTGGTCAAGGTGCAACATGACGCTTGCTCCCACGGCACATGTCCCATAGTAGGTGAAGGTGATCGATCTTCAAAATGTTGAGGCAGCTCCAAGACTGAGTTTGATCAACAGTTCCAGTACATTTCAAACTCATGGCTGAAAGAATGTCGACTGACCATATTCTATCGTGCTCGCGTGCTTTGGAGTTTTCAGTGTTTTGGATTTACAGTTGTTCCTCTCAATCAATTCTATTCAACAGCAACAGCAAGTGTCCCAGTCTAGCAAATGAACCATCAAACGGTTGGAGGCAGAATTCCTGCACCAAACAGACGCATGCGCTGCTGAGCATTTCAGCAACTTGTGCGTCCACGCCTTCGTGAATTCAGGTTGGCTGCGTTTCTCTTTGCTTCCCTACCAATGTTTTTGACCTGAGCTGTGCAAAATTTCTACAAACTTGTATATATATATATACACGTACTGGCTCAAACACTCCAAACATGTTCATGTCCTTGTCTCCGTTTCCTTACGTTGTAAGACGACAATCCCCTTTGATCCCCTCTGTGAGTTTAGTTTTCTTGTTTGAAGATGATCGAAGCACTTTTCACAATGCTCTAAAATTCAATTCATTATCACTTCATTACTTACTGTAGATTATATCAAATTATATCTATACTTATTGAGTATCACTTCATCAACATTAACCATCTTTTGCTACTGGATCTGCTGCTTCCATTCTTCTTTTGTCCATTGCCATCCGAAAAAGCCTAGTCCCCGGTCCCCTGCAGAAAACATGTTCCACCACTGGTTCGTCTGGTTGAGATTCCCAACTGCTCTCCATTGAGTTTCCCAAACTGCTGGATCCTATGATAAAACCCGTGCCATGAGCATCGCGCCGCACCGAGCAATGGAGCGTAATTTGTGGGACGATATGTGAACTCCTTGGACTCATGAAGACTCATCCAGATCACTACAGTATACCTACATGCTGGGGTCGGGGTGGGAGGATGAAATGGCTAGCCATGCAGATCTGCAGCTGTCCTACTAAGGCATACCCAGCGTCGTTGCCTCCCTGTCTCCGTGTCCTTCGTTCAGCCGCCCGGCCCGCTTCTTGGGCAACGCCACGCTGACGCGGTGCACGTCCTTCGCCAGGACCTACGGAAGACATCCGATTCACCGGGTGCCAAACATCTGAACGGGACCGGGGAAAGCCATCCGATTCGATTCACCGTTCGCTGCGGCACAGATTCCAAAGAAAAGAAGGACACAGATTCTGTTGCGCAATCCAAAGATGGGAATCGAGAAAATCACCGCTTTTGGTTCTGCAAAACATGGCAAAATCCAGGCGTATCAAGATCGTATAATATGAGAGGTTTTTGTTGGACCATGTTGGACCCCTTTAAGGGGATTACCAGGCAGGTGATCTGGCAGGTTGTGCAGTTCCATTTTGGGTAAACGAAGCATGAATATGACGTGACAATGTCGTAATGTTACCTATGCAGCCCTAGACCTGCTGGGCTTAAGGCTACACTGCTACACATGGCTACACTTGAAAGGGGAAGTTCCACACCAAGTCTGCCGGTGGATGAAGATCACAAGGTGGTCTTCCCCAGGCCCTAAACATCATCCACCCAGTGAGGTGGTCTTCCACTCGTGACGAGACCTCGTGCGGTCGTGCCAGATGGGACCACACCTTCTCTGCGGAGTCACGCAGAGGAGGCCACAATGGAACGACATCATTCGGTACTACTCAGTACAGTGACCTGGTAAAGTGTATAGTTTGGGTCTATCCGACTATCCTGTTACCAGGGCCCAGTGGATGATGAAAAATTCGGTTGCAGGCCTTGTTCAAAAAAAGTGATCATTGTCTATCAAACTGTTTCAAGATACGTTCGGACAGACCCAATGCAATGTTTGTAGCTATAGTAAACAATTTGAATTGTATAAGTCCTACAGCTTGCGACGTTCGGTTTCTGGAACATCGCCAACCCCCACGCCACCAAGCCACATTCACGGCATAGCCCCAACATGTGAAGGATGTCTAACGGAACCAACTGTCCCATTCACTCTCAACATCTCTCAACTCTCCGCAGAATGGTGACCCCCCAAAACAAGCCAAACATCATATGTATAGAACCACGTAGAACTTAGAACCCATTCGCAGAACCCAGCAACCAACAGCTTGAGTTTCGCTTTTCATCCACAGCTTTACTCTCGTTTCAACACGTCAAGCGACGGCTGTGAGGAGATGAAAGTTGGCAAGTCCAGCCTGGCGAGTCGGGTTACCCCACGGTTGGTTGGATCGTTCGGATCGTTGATCGTTTTGGCGGGTGGGTTTAGCTTCAGATTTGGATTTCATTCGTACGATTCAATGGTCGGGCAGGCATGCCAGGGGCATGCCAGAGACCTTGTGGAGTCATCTTCCACCTTGATGGTTCTTGGGCAAAGTGGCCCACTGGAGGCTTGAGGCCCAAACCGTTGCACCGAGGCTCTTGGCCCATCTTATTGGCTACACAACAGTGATCATGCCATACGGAAAGTGCTACGAAGCAAACAAGAACACTGAAATCCAAAATTAAGTTGCGGTGATATCATGTGAAAGAATACCTGGCATATCTATACTATGATAATCTATGATATACTACGTAAGATTTGTCTCGGGATTTGTCAAGGGTACAAGTGTGGAATTGACCGGTGGAATTGACCGCGACCAGCCAGAAACAGATTGATTCCGGTCATTCTCTCCAAAGCAACCGTGTCCGGCAAACTGGATACTCTTACTCTTGAAGATGCTAACAAGGTCGACATTCGAGCCCTAAGGGATAGCAGGATAGCAGCAGATCTGATTTCACCATCCCAGCTATGACATGGCGACATGATACGTGGCTGTGGGTCAAAAACCCATGATACCGATCGGGCACGGCCTACCTCCTGGAACCAGGTCGTTGGTCGGTCTGACGGAACGGTACATGGACGGGTCGGGCGACACCTGGTTGGACCCGTCCCCACTCACCCAATGGACGACGGCCCGATCACCGACAATCGGCACTCGGCATCTTTTGGTCGAAGCAGGACGATCACCCGCGGCGCTGGAGTTCAGCAATCAGCACCTGGATGGGGTGGGCTGTGTACTTACCAGCCTGCCTCTCCCTGTGGATTTCGACTTCAGATACTTCATCCAAAACTACCAGTATGAGGGTCGTTGCCCTTCATTCGATCTATCTTGTCCCTCAAGCCCTTGACACATCATGAATCCACACACCTAAAAAGAAGTCTCACCCTCCAGGATCATTTTAAGCCTAGGCCTACCACCCAAGGTGATGGACTGCTGCCATGATGCCATGGGAGACATTGAGCGGTGGTGTTCTGAGTGGATTCGAAGACTTCTGAGTGACTCTGGTGTATTGGCAGTACCAACCACCCCAGCTCGCATAGTCAAACATCGGTAATACAGGGTTTGTACGGGTCCTTTTGATGCTAGGTAATTAACTGAAAATCCCCATATGTCAGCTGTCAGGATCCACTTTCCGGGTGGTCAATCGAGACCAAACATAGAATAACCTCTATAGTAGTGTCGCCTGGCCATTTGCGGACACCCAACTTGGGGGGTCAATCCACCTGTCAACTACCCGCCAGCCCACCGAAACACATCGATATCCAATCGTGTAAAGAAATCACCGTCCAACAGCGAAGCATCACAGCACCTTCCAGACTCACCGTATCGACCTTCCATCAGTCTTTACATTCGCAGAAGCTTCGAGAAGATCCCGAAGATGGACGTCAGGAGTCAAGCAGTGTCAGTGTCAACCAAAAACATATCGGAAAAGGAAAACACCCTAATACAACACTTCAAACATCCCAGCACCCTCCAACAGGTCATTCATTGAGGATAGTTGAGGTGTGTTAAGCCCTAACAGGTCTCAATTGGTGACCTGTAGGTGGTCCACGCCATTGTGGACGGCCCAACCGCGCAGATCCGAGCCTCGGTCACCTGGGTGGCCTTGCAAAGCTCGAAGGCGCCTGGTGGAAGCGGGGGTTCCCCCCACCGGTGGATGGACCAAGGAGTCAGGTCTCATCATGAGACATGGAGAACGTGCTTACATGTGTTTACGTAAGGAAAAGGAGGAACAGGACTTCTAGGAATCGGAAGCACGTTGGAAGCAAAGACAAACGAACGAAAAGAAGCTGGACAAGCAACAGATCGGATGTCTTCCGTCTCCATTTCTCCACCATATCCACCATATCCACCATCCAATCCATCTCCATTCTCCTTGCAAATCTTTGAGCTCCTCCTCGGAAGCTAAGGCCAGAAAGGCTGGATTCTTCGGTCCTGGACGCGCTTTCGCAGCGCTGGCGCGTGGTGAGACAGAGCGCTCTTCCGGATGGCCGTCAACCAATTTTAGAGGGCCAGGAACCTCAGGATAGAGATGGGAGGATAAAACATGGAACTTACAAGTACGTTATAGTACGTGAAATGCTTGTGGAAAAGGAAGGGTACTAAGTGCACCTGGCCCTTTGGATGGACCATAGTCCAAATACCAAACAGGTGGTTTCCGCTTCCACGACGATGATTGTCAGGGAGAGTAGCTCCCCTCTGAATTCCAGTCCCTGCGCTGCGCCTGCGACACACTGCGCGAGGAGTTGCAGGAGCTCCGCCTCTTCTTCCACGCGACCCAGTTGCGCGAGCGCCACCTCATGGCAGAAACATCTCAGAGCTGGTGAAACGTGTCAGCTTCGGTGATCAAAGTCCGTTCAAAAAGCGGCTGGATAATATAACAGGGGAGTGCGAGTCGATTAATTTTATCAGCAGCATCGTATAGCTTGGTTGGTTTGCTAAAAGGACGGAGGATCGAGTCCAAATGTGGGGTATTATTTTTGCACATTCTTGCGGAATTCAGATATGAAAGGAATGTGCCGGACAAGTTTGATTAGTCTGGAACAACTGACTCCAAATACACTACCACAAAGTGATTGCTTCAGGCAGAAAGGACAATGTCAAAAATGTCGATGTGTCATTTGTGCCGGTCAAGCCAACAATTTTGGGGAATCTTCAAGAACGTGTGTCAGTGAAGCAGGCGAGTTGGAGACCTATATTCAGAACTGGCAGGGCCGCACTTAAAACATCTTGGCCGGCGGCCGCTGGCCGCTCAGCCGCTCATATGTATACATGAAATTTTAACGCATCGCATACCGCACATCGCATACCAAACCACCTCAGACCTGCACCGGGGATTGGGTACCAGGGTATCTCTTCACTACCAAGAGATACAGTAAATGGTTCCAAAATAATGTCAAGGCTCAAAGTATGTTGTGTTTGAACATGGTAGTTAGGTTGCGCAACAACTTAGATAATCACTTGTGTTTCGGCCCACCCAAACAACCAAAATATGATAAACACAAACATGACCAAAAACCTTCCTCTGTGCCCAGTCTCCAGTGATGATCATGACTAAATCAACCCCGGCCTTCAGCCAGGCGGCCGAAACGGCCGGCCGGTCTACAGTCTACACCCGTACACCCGGACCTCCCTTCCCCGTCCCAGCGGCTGCCGCCATGGAAACGGCCTGGGGCTCAGGAAGTCGACCTTGGAACCGATCACTCCGAAATGGATGTTGAGGTGTCAAGTCTATGTTGCTTGTGTCTGACTTCCTTTGTTGCAAGCTCTCCTTTGTTGAAATTGCTTGAAGCATGGGTCTCCTGCCCACCGATGCAGTGGCATCTCGGGCTGCAGCACCTGGCGCTGAAGCATCTACCCGACGTCACTGGGTACGGCTGGGTACCCAGGTTCCTGGTTCGCAAATCCTCGCAGCTGCGTCTCGCAGATGTTCTGTGAAGATGTGTGGATGTTCCAAACCAGATCATCATAGTTTTGCAACTCATCCCATTGCCGTTTCTGGCCCACCAATCCGCGTGGATGCGGTGTCCGTGGAGTCCGGTGAGAGCTTTGGCAGAATTCGCTTCATACGCCACTTGGATCGTTGCCGCTCAATGGTTGTAAGGGAAGGGTCCTTAATAAAGCGCCCAAAAGTCTTCTCTGGTTGGACCAGTGAGTCAGTGGGTGTTTTAATGTCTGTTATATTCCCAAGTAAAAGTAACACACAAAACTGGACATATCTGAGCCACCACCCAGCTTTGTAGCAAGCCGCTCACATCTCTTTTTTTGATGTGATGGCTGTTCCGAACCAGGCTGTGACGCCCCTTTCCGCCCCTGAACTCGACTCCCGCACTCAAGCCCTGCCTCGACGCTCTAAGTCTTCTTCATGCGTGGCGAACAGCTGTTCCAAAAGCCTCAGGTCCGGGAAAGGGCATGTTCTTTTCCCAACCTGCTTTTGAATTAATTTGGTGGAGGGTTCCTTTTTGGCCCGTTTGAGGGCCACTGTAATCTGGCGCTTGCTGTGGAGCTCCGGGAGTGCCCGCGATCTGGAGGTGGCAGTTGGGGAACTGCAAGGCGAGGAGACAGAGACAGAGGATGAGGCGGGATCCTCTTCTAAAATCAAACAACCCTCACCTGACAGGTGGGGAAATAAAAACTTGCATCCCAAAACGGGTAGACATAAAACCCTTCTGGCCCTGCACCCCGGAAAACAGGCGGAAAAAACAAACAGCGGGTGGAAAAAAACAACGGGAAAGCAAGCAACAACTGTTCGGAAGAGGTTTTTTGTAGCGCTACTTGGTCAAGCACTCCGAGGAAGAACAACAACAATGACTCAATGACTGTGTTGTATTGTACTGACTATAGATATAATATTTTAACGTATATGAATGCACAATTCGATACAGTATAATACAGTGAATCAACATTTATATATGCACTTCATTGTTTCCCTATCTAGTAAAAACCTACAATTCCTTCTTCCAGTTCCTCATCCAAAAGTCTCAGCTCACTCCGGTCCCATCCGGTCCCGTGCACCGACAGATCCGAGGCGCTCCGTCATCGCGTGCGTGGTGGCCGTCGTGAGTTCCATGGACTTGTGGGACTGAGCCTGGGACGTTCTTTTTCCGAAGCCAAAGGCATGGAGAAGGTGTGTGGGGATTTCAGTGTGGCACGGGTGCCTCCTGTTTGAACATCCTCTATATAACCTCCGCGCTGCGCAAGCGCGGAGCTTTCACACGGCAGCGGGAGCTCGAAAATCCCACAACTGTCGAAACATCGTGGCCTCTTTCTTCGCGAAACGGACTCAAAAGACCTGTATCATCAAGCTTTCAGGACATACAAGGCACAACGAAATCAGGTACAACCAGCTGTGCTGTAACAACAGCAACTGACCT